GAAAATGCAGCCACCAAAGCCGAGATTCGACGCCGCGACCTGCACAGGTCAGCAGCCGGTTACCTTAGCCACTGAACCACCATGGCGGGGCACAATAAAGTTAAGTAAGATACTTCTTTTATACTGTATTTTAATGTATATTATAAACTAGTAAGATATATCTTTTCAATTTTTATAAATATGATATAGATGCAAAGCAAGTGGACGAAACAAGTCATCGTCGGCAAAAAAAAAAACGCTTTGTAGAATGCTGACTGAATGCGGCCAATCCACTGCACAGCCGACTAATACTGCATTCGGATTCCTCATTGGCTAGTCACTGGAAGTACTTCAGCTGATCGGGCAGCGAAGCTGCTTGTCTGGTGTTGGTAGTGCTTGTTTAAGTGTACTTGAGGTGCTTGTTCAGCCATGGTCAAACGTTAGAGTTGCGTGCCTAATAGCTATACGCTGAGCAGCCTGTTCAACAGTGTTCAGAAGAGAACAAATTCTTTCTTTGCTTGCTTAGGTCCATTTGGCCAGACGTGGGTGCTGGATATTGGGAATCATCAGTGATCGCTATAATATTTGAGTATGAGTATTCACTGATACACTCACTTTAAAAATATCTCAACTTCCTGACGCATGTTCTTAATTCCAACCGACACTATGCCACTACGCCAAGAAGAAAAAGGTGCATTGAGTTTTCTGACAAATACTGTTTAGCTAAAATATTACTGTTCTTACTTAGATAACTGCAATTTATGCACAGGAGTTAGGATATTATCGGGGATTATTGGGGGTTCAGCAAAAAAGAACATTGACTGTCAACGGGTAAGAGCGACCATTCTAAAATACGCTGCTTGAATTGTTAACTGCACCAATGTTACGACAGTAATCATAGCCTCCTTCAGGATTTCAGTTTACGCTGTTTTATCATACCAATTTTGTATCGCTTTATGGACAACAAAAGCAATTATACCAGGAAATGTTCTTTTAACCGACATGATATAGGCATGGCTGAAAACGTAGCAAGGCTGAATACAATCTCAGTAAACAGTTCATCATTTCTATATCACGAGGTTGCCACAGAAAATAAACTGAATTCGCACAAAAGCTGCGTTGCTTAAGGTAGTTCCATGCGGTTCCATGTGTGCAAAGGCAAACCATTTCGGCCCAGGCAGCAATCACAAGCTGTTTTTTGTTAATAGTAGTCCCAATAAGCTCTTCCTACACTGACCGCCTTTGACACCACCATGGACATTGGAGAAACTGTCACGTACAAAACACCTTTCATAACGTTGTTACCGAATCCTCCATGCTTGAAAATCCCCACACAAAGATTAGAGATATATTTTTTTTCAGTTTCCAAAGTCCTCTATATTTGTTCCAAGCCAAGCGCAGTCTGTTAGTACGGCTTGCGCTTTTTCGAAAACTAGCGAGGTGCTCATTGTTTACATGGGGAGTTCATATTAAGAAACAGCCTTGTTATTCAGTTCTCTTGCTCTTATGCGTGAAAAATATGGTGTGTAGCCTAGCCACAAGAGGTGAGTCTTCCGGGAGCTTCATCAGAAGCAGTCGGTTGCGTAAAAGCAGTGTTTTGCACGTGCATGGCGCTTGTCGAATAAGTAGCAGCCTTGCTATGCATGTTTTTATTCTTGAAGACTTCGGTGACACGCTCTCACTCTCAACGAGGCCTTCGTGAAAGGTACGATTTAACTCAGTGTCCCGTGACTGACTCTTTGAAAAGGTTATTTCGGGTCTCATTGCTTAAGGATCTTCGACGCTTCACATATTCGGGATGAGCATCTCAGCTTGCTGTACCCTCAAACACTTTTAAATAGAGCCTTGCCATCAGGCACTATGCTGTTGGTAAGCCCACTCAAACGAGGTATTGTTCTGTTCATAAAAATAAAAAACCTCTCCTCTCTATCTGTTTTAAACGGTGAGATTTCTTGGTCTCTGCGACAGTGTGTACTAGCGGTGGAGCTCTGTAATGCGAAGGTTAATCCTTGGGGAGCATCGTTCACAGTTTTAGATGTAGTGCGGCGCCGTCCGCAGGCTTCCTCCTCCTTCTTCCACCATCTGTGCATCCCTTCCTCCTCTACACACCGCGCGCGCTTCACTCCTCCACCATCTGTGCACCCTTCCTCCTCTACACACCGCGTGCGCTTCTCCTCTTCACGAACATTCGCTAGCTGTATAATGTAGCGCGCATGCGCCGTCACGCTTCGAGAACATCGGCAGCTGACGCGCGCGCATGCGCCGTCGCGCTTCGAGAACATCGGCAGCTGACGCGCGCGCATGCGCCGTTGCGCTTCTCCCTTTTCTCGAACATTCGACAGCTGACAGTGCATGCGCCGTCGCGCTGTATATATACTCAAGGTCGGCACTCGCTCGCTCAGCTGCCGCTCGTCGGTTGGTTTGTACGGCGCGTCGACGTCCAAGGTCGCAGTGAAATGAATTCCAACGAATCCACAAACACAATGATCGACGTCCCTTCGACCAGCGCCGCCCTTTCGCATACGTGTGTACGTGTTCACTCATTTAACATCCCCTCCTACAACCACGTTAACCAATTTAGCCATCAACCCAAGTAAGTCGCAATTTAACACCCCATTTCACAACCACGTTAACCAATTTAGCCATCGACCCAAGTAAGTCGCACTTTAACACCCCGTTAACCAATTATATGCTCCGCATCCTCCTCAGTGTTCCCCCGAGGGAAGCAGCGGGCAATTTTTTTATTCGAGTACGTGCCACAAATCTTGGGCATACTAGTTCCCAATGATCAACTAAAAGTGAAAAAAGTAAGAATTTCACGCGCAAACACGTGTATATCACGGACAGAGAAAGAAACGAAGACACAGAGAAATAAAAGGTAAACAAAGAAAGAGAGAATAGAGAACGAAAAAAGAAATATATGAGAGAAAGAAGGGATTTAGCTAGAGAGAAAGAAAAATGGCAGATCTTACGTACAGTGGGAATCTATGATATGTGAAGCATGAATAAGAAAGGTTCATATGTCCCTTTAAAATCAGCACAACGTTACGAGGGGGGGGTAAATGATGCCGTACATGACTTCCGTGTCATGATTATCACGTTTGGATGTGTCGTTTACCTTCGTCATCTATTCACGTCGCGGGATACCAAGTTTAGTATATGTGGAGCTAGTGAAACGGCAGTGAGCCCGCTATTACCGTGGCACGTTGTCATGTTCTTACATGACACGCGTGTCAGGATTATCATGTTTGCACCAGTCATATATTTCGTCATTCATTGACGTCACGTAACACCAAATTTGGTATATGTGGAGCTAGCAAAACGGCCTCGAGCGCATCATGAAGTGCCCAAATATATACTCCAATGCAGTGTTGATGCACGCCCACGCTGGGCACAGCGATGCTACGTTAGCAAAACGCGAGCACTGTATAGTCTGACGCCAGGCACGACCGACGCGACCAGCGCCCATCGGCGCGGCCCGACGGCAACCGGCGCGAAATTCGCGCCGATGTGTTACCCAGAAAACACTGCGTCTCCCTCTTGTCGGATCCGCTAGGTGGCGTAGGGCGGTGAGGACGTGCTCACATTGCTCTCCGCTTTATGAAACGCTTTCAGGCGGAAATTTCATTCAAGTCTACTTGAAGAGTGCGTTATCTTTTCCGTGAAGTTGCGAGGATTTGAAGGACACCAAAATTTGGGACCTGGACCAGCTTCACGAGAAATAATCAACGTTTGAAGATACGACGTGCACGAACGCAGCTTACCGTATCACCGGCTTCGGTCGGCGGCGCCGGGACGCTAAACCGGGCGCGGTGCGGCGACGAGTGTGTCGACTGGCTCACAACTATTCGACCGACTTTCTCCAATATTTTCTGACTGGAAGTCAATGGTGAGTGCCATTTATCCTCCTTTTCAGACTATGCGTCTTGAGCAGAGGAAAACGGAGGTCGGCCCATTCCCCTGTTTCTACTGAGCATGCATGCATAAGGACGCCTAGAAATTTTTGTCTACATTGACGTCGACGGGGACCCTCCCGGCGCATCTCTGGTGTCGGAGAATCAACCGAGTGACGCGAGTAGCGTCTCGTCAAATGAAGAACCAAGTAACGACGCGCGAGTGCCCAGCGCCGCGTCTCTCGATAACAAGAACGATGACGACGCACGTCTGGCTCTTACTTGGACGGCGGACGGCTGGCACACCGTCATTTCACGCAGAAGAAAAAAGAACCATAAACAAAGCCAGAAAGAACCCGATAAGGGACTAGAGAAGAAATACAAAAAGTCAGCAGGCCATCCGCTTCCCGACGCAGCACGGGACAGCCAAGTCAAGCGCGATTTCCAGCGCAGAAAACGCCGAGGACCGACGCCCCTTCCAAAGGAAGACATAAAGGTTATCCTGAGACCGCACAAGGGCCTCACAGTGAAAAATCTATTTGGATCCGAGCTCTTTATGGCAGTGATAGAGGCCTGCCGGAACAGCTTTGGAGGAGAAAGTTTTTTGCTGCGGGTCCAACCCGGATCGAACATCATAATATTGTCCACGCCACACGAACAAGTGGCGGGCAGGCTGAGAGAGATCAACCATTTGAAAATCAGAGGACGGATTCACCCCTTCAATGCGTACGTGGCCGACCCAGAAGACGTGCTACGAAGCATCGTTCATGGACTACCGCCCGGAACCACTCAGGCCGACCTGATGGCAAACCTACGAATACGGGCACAAGGGGTGAAGATAGAGAGAGCCAGAATGCTGGGCTCTTGGAAGTCAGCAATAATAACTTTTACGGGTGACGTGCTCCCCAGGTGTGTCTATTTTATAGGTGCAGAGGCGATCTGTTATCCATACAAGCCTACCGTACAGGTTTGCAAGATTTGTCGATCAACTGGACACCGAACCGACGTGTGCCCGACTCCAAACGCCAACGTGTGCTCCAAGTGTGGGACGTGTGATCGCACTCAAGGACATGAATGTGCCCTGAACTGCGCCATATGCGGTGAAGAGTACGCTACAAGAGACAAATCATGCAAAAAGAAACTGAAAAATGTGGCCCCCCGAAAATCACAAGTGGAGACGCCTCGAAGACAAACAGAGTGTACCTACGCCGAGAAGGTTTCCCGCAACTTGAGCAACACCAGCAGAAACCTCCTCGTTGGTTCAGCTCAGACCGAGAGGAAGCGACGCTCCAGACGCGGCAGGCATCTAGATCCAGCTCCAGATCACGATCAAGATCGAGATCATCATCAAAGACCCCGCAACAGCGGAATATTAGCAAGCCTGCGGAGGCCCCTGGCAAACCAAACATGAAGAAAACACCGAGCAGCAGCTTGGAAACAAGCTCCGCCCATGCCAGGGAAGAAGAAGCAGTAGCAGCAACCACTGGCCTTAGTACGCAGGACGTACAAAACAACCAACCAAACAAGGTGAGCTGGGCGAGTCCAGTGCCTCCCAATGTTCCTGCAACTGATAGCCCACAGTATAGGAAAATTCTAGAGGAGAACAAAAGATTAACGCAAGAAATTAAACAGCTTAAAATCAAATGACTGCGGAGCGGAAAGAGTATAAAATGGCCATCTCGTCAATGGAAATCAAATTAGAAAATGCAATTAGGAAAATACAAAACCCAGGGTCGATAGGCAACCCCACCGTGGGCAATAAAGAGGCGCGAGAGCGTCTAGCCCACATGAAGGATAGTGCAGAAACGAGCGCGGAAACGATAGACGAAGACTCGTTCGCTTATCAATCAGAAAGCAGTGAACTAGTAAAGCGAGTGCAGACGCAGGTTCAAGCAAACAAGGAAAGCATAGCTACTTTACATAAACTTCTAAGTGATTTCATGGCGGAAATGAAAACGTTTGTCGTAGAAGAACTGAAAATTCAGAGGCAGTATGTTAACGATGCTGTGGGAGGCTTGCAGAGGGCACTAAACAAACGCTCCATGTCCGCTCCAGGTATTGACAAACCATCCAAAGCGGGCCGCGACAGCATGGGTACGACCATGCAGCATGGCCAAAAATAATATAAAAAGTGTAGAACATTTAGAGATTTGGCAGTGGAACTGTCGCACTTTTCACAAGCGCGCCGCAGCACTCCAAAATTACATGAACTCGGTACCAATTCAGCCCGACTTAATATGCTTGCAGGAGGTTGGGCCCAAGATGGTCAAACTGCAGGGATATTATTGTTTGCAAGATCCAAATTATCCCCGCGTAGCCTCGCTGGTTAGCAAAAGTATTGCAGCAAAGGTTGAGCACATATAAAGTCTGCGGATAAATCATCAGATAATCACCCTTCTTCCTCTGAAAAGAGGCAAAGTGAAAACCGTAATATTAAATATATACAGCCCTCCCAAAGAGAAACACGAGGACTTTGGTGCACTGCTTAAAAATGTCGTCGCTATTGCAGGGGCGAAAGATCGACTTGTGGTATTGGGCGACTTTAACGCACCCAGCACCACATGGGGTTATTTGAGAGATTCCCCTAAAGGAACACGTCTCGAACACGCCGTATCCAAACTAGGATTGAGCTTAATTACTCTACCCACAACACCTACGAGGCTGGGTAACAGCGTAAGTCGAGACACGTTCCCAGATCTGACATTCACACGTAATGTTAACGACGCTAACTGGACAAACCTGGAAGTGAATCTCGGCAGCGATCACTAAATAATCAGTATTTCCCTCTCAACTCCAAAACTCCGCAGGGTCATAGGAGACGTGGTGATCACTGACTGGGAAAGATACAGACGACGTGATCCCTCACCCGACTCTGTACCGGAGTCGATTGGGGAATGGTCAGAGTACATAATCTCAGTTCACAAACAAACATCTAAACGTATCACAAGAACAGCAGAGACTCCTGCAGTCGACAGGCACCTGCTCCACCTGTGGGAGAGCAGGCGCCGTATGCTGAAAAGGTGGAAAAACCAGCGACTCAACCGGAACCTTCTCCGCAAAATCGCTGCTTTAGGAGAGGAGGCAAATCAATACGCTAACAAAATTGCAACTGAGGGATGGATCCAGTTCTGCAGTTCACTACAGGACACTCTGGGCACTGCGAAAACTTGGGCCATCCTAAGGAACATGCTTGACCCAGAAAAATCAAAATCGGCGTCGAACAGAACACTACAACGAATAATGCATGATTTTCCGGGCACAGAGGAGGAGTTAATACAAGCACTTAAGGACAGATACATAGGAGAGAATACCGATAGTTGCAGTATTGAAATGCAGTACACTGGTGCGAAAAACGAGAGACTCGACGCCCCAATCACCACGGGAGAGGTCTTTGCGGCTGCCCAAGCAGCCAAGAGAAATTCTGCCCCTGGCTCAGATCAAATCACAAATGCAATGATAAGGAACCTCAGCGATAAGATTATAGAGGCACTGACAAACCATTTTAATGACAACTATTGGCTCAAAGGAAAGATACCCGAGGAATGGAAAGTAGCCAAAATTATTACGATACCGAAACCCGGGAAGAAGCCCTCCCTGCAGGCACTCAGGCCCATATCTTTGACGTCATGCATGGGAAAGCTTTTTGAAAGGGTTATTCATAATCGGCTCCAAAACTTTATAGAGGACAACGGCCTTTTTCCAGCCACTATGCTGGGTTTCCGCAATGGCCTCTCTACCCAAGACGCATTTCTCCTATTACAAGAGGAAGTATTGAGCTATATACCAACAGGAGGAGAACATCTAATACTAGCCCTTGATTTAAAAGGAGCATTCGACAATATCTCGCATAAGGCCATCCTAACAGAATTAAACAATATGGGATGTGGGACAAACACCTACAATTACATTAAGGCATTCCTCACAGAAAGGCGGGCTTCGATAAGCGTAGCACAAGTCACGTCAGACGCTTTTGAGATGCCAAACAAAGGTACCCCTCAAGGAGCCATCCTCTCTCCCCTGCTCTTTAATATCGCCATGTTAGGACTCACGCGAGCTCTGGATGGAGTTCCGCAGTTAGGATACACTCTCTATGCGGACGATATCACCCTATGGGCAACGCGTGGATCTCTAGCTAACAAAGAGCAGACACTTCAAGAGGCTGCAGCAGCAGTTGAAAACTTTGCGAAGGCAAGCGGGCTCAGCTGTGCCCCAGAAAAATCTGAAATTATCAGGGTACATGGAAAAAGATACAAAAGTAACGGAAGCATTGACATAAACATGGAAGGTGTCAAAGTACGTGAGGTGACCGTCGCACGTATTCTGGGTTACTGGGTTCAAAGTAATGGACGAGCGAATCATACAATAAACATATTAAAATCAGTCACGAAACAAGTTGCACGAATGATCCATAGAATAACATATCACAAACAGGGCATGAAGGAAGGAGACACAATTAGATTAGTACAGGCACTTGTACTGTGTAAGGTTACGTATAGTCTTCCTTTCCACGTGTTAAACAAATCAGAAGAAGAAACCATCGAGTCCATAATTAGGGGCGCCTACAAAGTGGCCATAGGGCTACCGGTAAGCACACCAACCCAAAAGCTTTTGGACCTCGGTATATATAATACATACCCTGAGCTAAAGACAGCGGTACTGACTGCGCAGAGAAATCGTCTAAGTCAACGAAAGCGGGGAGAGAGATACTTTCTAGGGTGGGCTTTCCGCCATACCCCCAGAACATGGACGAGGTTCTTGTAGAAATCCCGGATCCCGTCCGCAGCAAGATCTCGATCTCACCGCTGCCCAAGAACATGGACGTAAAAACAAACAGAAAGCGCAGAGAGGAGAGAGTGCGATGGCTCCGAAAAACATTCAAAAACAAATCAAATGTTTTGTATGTGGACGCTTCAAGGCACAATTATAAACGGTCAGTTGCATCGGTACTTAGCAACGACAACTGCATGGTGACATGTGCATCACTGTGCACGTCCTCGATCGCCAAGGCGGAATGCTTTGCCATTGCCCTTGCAATCAGGGCGCAGGAACAAAGGGATGAACCGCAGACAACTATCATTTCCGACTCGCAGGAAGCGTGCCGTTTCTTTTTAAGAGGCCGCCTTCCGTTAAAAATATAAGCAAGTTCTTAGGCGGGAGCTTGACGAACAAATACAGACTGATCTGGTGTCCAGGACACGCAGGGGTGCCCCGCCGCAGTGGTCTAGTGGCTAAGGTACTCGGCTGCTGACCTGCAGGTCGCGGGTTCAAATCCCGGCTGCGGCGGCTGCATTTCCGATGGAGGCGGAAATGTTGTAGGCCCGTGTGCTCAGATTTGGGTGCACGTTAAAGAACCCCAGGTGGTCAAAATTTCCGGAGTCCTCCACTACGGCGTCTCTCATAATCATATGGTGGTTTTGGGACGTTAAACCCCACAAATCAATCATCATCAATCAGGACACGCAGGCCTGGAGGGGAACGAAAGTGCTGACGCTTGTGCTCGAGGGCTCACGAACCGAGCAGAGCTTCGACAGCACATTCAATCCTTTGAAACACTCCAGGAGGAAGCTATCGAGGAGGATAATGACCCATCCAGAATGGCCCCTCGCGAAAGTCTTGCTAGCCAGCGAGGCATGTGACAAAAATATAGCGCCCCCCCCCCCAAATCATTAGAAGGGGAGGACGCAATTGACCTCCGCCGAATTCAAACGGGGGTCTTTCCTAATCTTCAAAGGTTACACAAAATTTTTCCAACGCTGTATGGGCGTGCTTGTCCGTGGTGTGGCGGCTCGCCATCGCTCTACCACATTTCGTGGGGATGCCTAAAACGACCACCAAATTTAGATACCTTTTTAGGTAAGTACAAGCTTTGTAATACTTTCGAGCAATGGGAGGCACAGCTCGCCAGCTCTGACCCAGAGGTGCAGCTTGCACTTCTGCGGCACGTCAGACAGACGGCGGCAGCCAGTGGAGCCCTGGACTTGGGGCCCCACCCATCAAGCTCATGACCCCTGTCCCAAACCCTTGCAAATAAAGTTTTTCCTTCCTTCCTTCCTTCCCTCTTGTCGTGACGGAGGGACGCTGGACGCGCTGAAACACGCATGCGTCAAAGCAACGCAGCACGGCGCGTGCCTGCGAGTATATCGCAGGACCGGTGCCTGGCTTGGCAACGCCAGTGAGCACGCGCACCGCATCCCGTCGAAATGTATTGGCACCTTGACTGTGCCATCTAGTCATGTTCTCACATGACACGCACCTCATAATTATATTTACACTAGTTACATACATTCGTCATCCATTGACGTCACCTAATACCAAATTAGGCATATGTGAAGCTAGCGAAATGGCCGCGAGCGCACATGAGTGTGGTATGTACACTCATGTTACATGACAACCATGTCGTGATTATCATGTTTGGATGTGTCATTTACCTATATCATCCGTTCGCGTCGCGTACTACCGAGTTCTGTACATCGGAAGCTAGCATCATTAGCGTAGCTTGTAATCCTATTGTTACATGACACGCATCTCGTATTTATCACGTTTGCACCAGTGTCATACCTGCGTCATGCAGTCACGTCCCTTAAGGCCCAGTTTGGAATAAGTGAAGCTAGGGAAACGGCCGCCAGCGCATCATGAGCGTGGCATGTAGTCATGTTGTTACATGACACGCATGTCATGATTTTCATGTTAAAGTCGGTTGCTTGTGTTAGGCACGCAATAATGCTTTACCATACCAGTTTTACAACATGCCATGTGAACGAAACCACCGCAAGAGCTGCAGGACCATGAAATGTAAAAAAATACATTCATGAAGTGCATGTCATGATTTTCTTGGCATGTCTAGTCAAATACGTTCTTCACACGGTTATGTTATGCCATACCAAGTTTGGTGTCGATACCATTATCGAAACGGCCAGGAGAGCTAAAAGTCTTAGGCGGCTAGCTTGATAGGTAGATACGCTCAAAACCACCGAAGTTCGCTAAGACATGCTTCACAACTAAAGGAATACTTTGTGGGAGACATTTGCTTAGGTGAACAGGAAGGAAATGTGCATGACCATGCGTAACAATGTAACGCTACTATCTTCACATTTCAACTACCTTTCGCGAATTCAAGCCAGCGAAACCACTTAAGCTTTTTTTTATTTTATTTCGGAGATTCATACAGAAAGCGATAGTTTTGTGGAGCGAAGTAGGAAAATTCAAGTGAACTCAACCAATAACACCATGCAGTCACTCCCACAAATAACTCCAGATTCCAGTATGGCAGTTATCTTGCAAGAATTCAAAAAGTCCCTGTATAAACACAGATACTGGCCACAAACACTGGCAAGCCAATAGCTCTGCCCAAAACTAATGACATCCGACACATGTTTGGCACTCCTTTTAAATGCGAAGCATTTCTTAGCGAACTTCGGCGACCTTGAGCGTATCTATCTATCTATCTATCTATCTATCTATCTATCTATCTATCTATCTATCTATCTATCTATCTATCTGTCTGTCTGTCTGTCTGTCTGTCTGTCTGTCTGTCTGTCTGTCTGTCTCGCCGCCTACGACTTTTAGCTCTCCTGGCCGTTTCTATGATGTTATCGATACCAAACTTGGTATGGAATAACATGACTGTAGTAAAACATATTTCAATTGTCATAACATGAAAATCATTAGTATATCATGAATGTCATGATTTACATTTCATGGACCTGTAGCTCTTGCGGTGGTTTCGTTCATATGGCATGTTCATATGGCACGTTCATATGGCATGCGAACACAAGCGACATGCCCTAACATGAAAATCATGCCATGCGTGTCATGTAACACTATGACTACACGCCACGCTCATGATGCGCTCGCGGCGGTTTCGCTAGCGTCACATAAACCAAATTTGGTATCACAGTACGTGAATGAATGCCGAAGGTATGTGACTGGTGCAAACATGATAATCATGAGATGTGTGTCATGCAACAACATGACTACATACCATGATCATGACGCGCTGGCGGCCATTCTGGCTAGCTTCACTTATAAGAAATTTGGTATTACAGGGCGTGAATAGATGACGAAGGTATGATACTGGTGCAAGCATGATAAACATGAGATGCGTGTCATGTGAGAACATGACTACATGCCACAGACAAGGCGCCAATACCTTTCGACGTGACGCGGTGCGCGTGCCCACCGGCGGTCATTTCTTTGAGACACGCCGGCGTTGCCACGCCAGGCACTGGTCTTGTCAGATACTCGCAGGCACGCGCCACGCTGCGTTGCTTTGATGCATGCGTGTTTCAGAGCGTCCGGCGTCCCTCCGTCACGAAAGGAGGGAGACGCAGGGTTGTCTGGGTAACGCATCGGCGTGAAATGCAGGCATTTCGCATTTCGCACTGGTTGCCGTCGGGCGACGGACGCTGGTTGCGCCTGGCGTCAGACTATAGAGTGCTCGCGTTTTGCTAACGTAGCGTCGCTGTGCAAAGTGTGCGCGTGCGTCAACGCTACATTGGAGTATATAACTGGGCCCTTCATGATGCGCTCGTGGCCGTTTTGCTAGCTCCAATTATACAGATTTTGTGTTACGATACGTTAATTGATGACGAAATATATGCACTGGTGCGAACATGATAATCCTGACACGCGTGTCATGTAAGAACATGACAACATGCCACGCTCATAGCGTGCTCGCGGCCGTTTCGCTAGCTCCACATATACTAAATTTGGTATCACGTGACGTGAATAGATCACGAAAGTAAACGACGCATCCAAACATGATAATCATGGCACTGAAGTCATGTACGGCACCATTATTACCTCCTCGCAACGTTGTACTGATTTTAAAGTGACATATCAACATTGCTCATTCGTGCTTCGCATATTATCGATTTCCACTGTACGTTGGATCTGCCGAGTTTTTCTTTGTCTTTGTTCTTGGATAGCAGTGTCTTTCTAGGGAGCCTTGGAAAAACGCCTGTGCGGGTTTGAATTGACTTCTATCCTCACTGCAGCAAATAAGTAACGTAGTAAATCACAAATACTTCCTTAAAAATGAAAGTTTTTACAGAGGTGAACTACAGCCCCAGAAAAATAACCGAGTAATTATAGAAATTTAATCGATTAGTTTTCTGAAACTTCCCTCCACACTTTTATTGCCCAAGTGTACTCAAGCTACAACAAATTACAGTAGCTTCCGTGCTGGAGAGTATGCCGGAGGCTTTCGTGAAGACTGGTAGGCTTACTGGGGCTACTGTAACATAGTGTTAAACATTGTTAGCTTTCAATAGAAGTTCTTTTTCAAAGTTCTCGTTACTCAATCTTGAACTTTTCCTTCTTAAGAGTTCAGCTGCCACACTGAAAATTTTCTCAAGGCATAGGCATATGGTATGGGGCGGTATGGTAACGTCTAAATGACGTCTCGTACGGAATTGTAGTTGCGTCGTAGTTCGACGAAATATAGGCTTCAAGCGTCCATGTCCGCTTTGAAGCCTTGTGCTTGGCTGCTGCTGCCGTTCGGGTCAGGCATTGCAGATAAGACGAAGAAAAGGGTGGAAATATTCGCTCTGTAGGGACACCAACGTTGTCTTCCTACAAAGCAACATGGTAACTGCTTTAAAGACTGATTACTACTTGTTTTGTATAGAAGTGATTATTACCGGTACTCAATTACAAGAAAACATTGTGCTATTATGTACAAGGCAACGGTTTCGCAAAATTAATTGATTCTAATCTAAAATTGCAAAATGTATATTTGATGAAAGTAATCGCTTGCAATGTGTTAGGCACAACTCTAGCTACAGAGTACAATTTCGCTACACATCATTTCATTGTTATTCAGGAGTAACCAACCCACAAAGTTTAGTGAAATAAAAAACGACACGTACCACCAATAAAGAAAAACTAAGGACAGAACAGAAAGGGCGTCATTCACAAATAACTTTATTCTCAGAGAATCAGTGACATATATAGCCGTAGCAACAATGCACGCACACATCACCTCAAAAGGTTATGAATTTTGTGTCTTACAACACGAAGTTCATACCCATTTCTTCAAAGGTACTCAAAATTGTTAACCACTTTTTCTAAACACATAACATCAGGGACGAACGGGTGCCGCTATAAAGATCTTCGCCCTGTGCTCGTGTTCCCTCGTTGTCGTCGTTAGCGTCTCAGGGCGTCCCTGGGGTGGCGGACGCCCGTAATGGCAAGCCAGCCCCCGAAGAAGGCGCTAGCCTTCGACGTAGTCCTCCCCGAGGGGACTAGTCCCGAAGACGTCGTTGACGTCTTCAATAGTAGGAATCGAAGAGGTCTACTGTGTACAGCACTTTGGAGGCCGAAATTACCAAGTCACCGTTAACAGTGAGGCCGCTCTGGCTCAAATCGTCGACGCGTCCCACCTCATCATCAAAGGAGAGTGCGTTGCTGTCGTACCCTTGGGACCCCAAGTCACTCAAGTCACCGTACTGTTCCTGCCGTGCCGCGTCCCCAGCGAGGTCCTCGCGCAAGCATTGTCTCCCTACGGGAAGGTGCTGCACATCAGCAGATGACTCATGGGGTCGCGCCCTACCGTGACCACTGGGACGCGATTTGTCTGGATGGAAATGAAGACATCGTCGCCGGTGCACAACTACCTCAAAGTCGCTGGCCATCGAGTGACCTGTGACTATAAAGGGATTTAGGGAGTGTGCCGTCGATGTGAAGACAGTGGGCACTTCCGCATGAATTGCACAGCTCCGGTTTGTGGAAGGTGCGGCGTTTACGGCCACGACGGGAAGGGCTGCTCGCTGCCGTGTCGCCGTTGTGATGACCCGCATGCCACCGTCGCCTGCACCATCAGGCCGCCATTTTCCGAGGCGGCCTCCCATGATTACCCGCCCCTTCAATCAGGCAAGAATAAGGACGTCGTATCATTGACGCCAGGCCCGGATATTTGCCAGGACGAAGTTGGGTGCATCACAACGCCACACCAGACGCCACACCAAACGCCCGCAGCCTCTCCAGCCAGCCTCGACCAGGCAGCCCCTCAAGGTGCGGATGATCCATCTAGCGGCCCGCGACCAAAGGTGGTTCCCACAGAACCACAGGTCCGAGCCCTCACCAGAGGAGGCGCCACTCGGCGAACGCGTCGCAGATGCTGACGTGATATCTGTTGCTCACCCCATGGCTGCCCAGTCCTTTGTTAGTCCTTCTATCATTGAAAAGACTTTGTCCCAAGGTGACGAGGTTTCCATCAACGAGGACTCTAGCAGTACTAGGAGTGACATGGCCCTGGAGATAGACACCGACAGAACTCCTAGCGAGATCAGCCGAGACAGTTTTGACGAATTCATGCCATCTTCACTCAAGAGCCTCAGCACCAAGCGCCACGGAATATCCAGCAGCGACTCGGAGGTCCCCAGCAGAGACAGAAGTCCCCTGCGGACTTCGATGCGGCCCCGGAAGCCCCAAGCTTCCGGTGGGTCGCCTGGTCGTAAGAAGTGATTGAGCTGCTTTCGGGGCACCCACTCCCACGTCTGTGAAAACTGTGAGTCTAGTATCCAAATTTGTTTTTATTGTTTATGATGGCTACCGCGTTGAATATTATTTCCTTCAACGTAAAAGGTTTTCGCAGTCCGGTAAAGCAGGCCGAGGTGATTAGTGTAGCCCGTGCTGCAAATTGTGATGTTTTATGCCTGCAGAAAACCAATTTCTGTTCACTGTGCAACGTTGGGGCTTTTAAACAAAAGTTTAACTTAGATTGCTATTTTTCTTTCCCTACAACTCTTTTTAAGGGAATAGGCATCATTATATTTAATCGGGCTTTATTGAGACGTCACCACGTTGTTTATGACAGCGTCGGTAGAATTATTGCTCTAGATTGTACCTACTTTTCTTTTCGAATGAGGATACTATGTGTCTATGCGCCTGCATAAACTGGACAGTCTAATGATTTTTTACAAAATTTGGATGTTTTTTTTCCAAGACTGTCGTCATGTAATTCTGATTGGAGACTTTAATTGTGTGCTAAATACGCGATGCAATGAACAAGGTCCTGGCTGGGGTCGGTCTGCTTGGAATTCACGTGAGCTGGGACGCCTTCTCCAGCTATTTTCATTGCTGGATGCGCATAATGTCATGCACGGGAATACTTTTGTTTAGACATGGCGCCGCGGACACGCCTCCAGCTGACTTGACCGGGCTTATATTCCACATGCTTTAGAGACGTTTGTCTCCGACTTACGTGTCCCACCCATCCCATTTTCGCCTGTGTACATCTCTGACCATCGTCCGATTCTCTTAGAACTAACATTCCATTTTCTTTTTTGGAGAAACCATGGCGTCTTGATGTTCGCGTCCTCCAGGACGCGTGCTCTCGGTCAAATTTGTCCCGAGCAACACGCGTGTCACTCATGCGTCTGATTCATTCGATTGGGATGCGCTTAAAACCCAGTGGCGCCTGCATGCTCAGTTGAAGGGCGGTCCCTTCGTCGTCGCGTTTCTGAGGGGCTGGCTGATACTGCAGCGAAGTTACGCATCGCCTTGCGCGCTGAAACGCCGTCTCCCCTGATGCGAGCTTGGCAACATGAATTACGTGAACGCTCCCAGCATTTGATTGCAGCCTCGGGTCTGGCGGCGGCTGCATGGCATTGTAGGCACAATCCTTGTGCCCACCCCGAGGTGCTACGCTATGCGAGGCAATCGTGTTTTGGGCAGTCACAATCACCTGTTTTTACGACCACGCAGACATCACATACACAGCCGCTTCCTACGCGTGATCGATCTCTCTTTCTGGCGCATTTTGAAGAGATGTCATGTTCGGCCATGCGGACAAACTGTGATATTGCACCCACACGTAGTGGGTCGACTGCAAGAGCGGCTCTACCATCTGGAGGAAAGAAAGAAGATCGCGTGCCTCATATCGACTCGAGAGCCAGCGAGGCTCGCGAGGAAGAAGCTGGTCAGCGGTCCCAACGTTCCTTGTTCCATCCTCAGGGTTGTGGTCAAGTAGCCGGCGGTTACTTTTATTTTATTTTATTTTATTTTATTAGATCTACCTCTTCTTCCACAACTGTTTTAGTGCATTGATAAGTGTAACTTCTTATTTCATGTCTGTTTCTTCTCCGGGCCAAAGGCCTGCCCTCTGATCAGCCTCTGTTCCCCCTCAAGATCTTCCCCTGGAGTTGTTTCTCCACAATGGAACCCGTAGCGTTCCTGTCACTTTGGTACCGACCACCGGCCGGTTCATCCGCATGAAAAACCCCAAGACATTCCAAACGGAACTTCGTGCAATCACTCCCCACTCTCTACTGATAACAGAGGTTCGTCAGTTTGGACGCGGGGGGATACTATGCTGCTCACCAGACAAGGCTTGCATCCAAGACCTTCTGAAGTGCACTACTTTTGCATCACATCTGGTGAGCTCTTTTATCCCACCTCATCTATCTTGCTGCAAAGGATTGGTTCGGGGGGTAGAGGCAAGTCTGAGCCCAGCAGAAGTCTTGGACATTTTTTCCCCAGCAGGTGTTATTTCTTTTTACCGCTGTACCAAACAGGAAAACAAACAGAAAGTTCCCACTGAAACTGTGATTGCCACATTCGCTGGAACAGATCGCCCTTCGGAGATTAAGGCACGGCCGCTTATCTATAAGGTCGAAGCTTTGGCTCCCCGCTCGCTGCAATGGGCTACCTATTGGCGCTTTGGGCACAGTACTAAAGGTTGTCGATCGGAGACTCGATGCCGCATATGCGGGGCCATATAAGGGGCTGGTCATAGTACTGCTGAGTGTCAATCAGACAATAAGACATGCTGTTTGTGCAAGGCAAATCACGCTGCAGACGATCCTAACTGCCCTGCAAGATTAAAGGAACTTCAGGTGATTGAAATCATTGAAAGGAGACGATGTTCTCGTAGAGAAACAATTGCAGAAATTCAAAGCAGGAATCGGGGTTATGCCGGCATAGCAGCTCGTCCACCTCTTTCTATGGATGCATCACTTTCTCAGTCCATTTCTGCTATGGTATAAAAGGTCGTAGAAAAAGTATTAGAAAACTTTTACTCAATCTGTCCGACTCACTCAATATTATTATGGATTCACAGATGTCGGGCGCATCTGATCGATTAACTAAGCGTATCCAACCTCCAAGTGCCTCAATTAATAAACCTGCCGAACATCAGTCATATGTCTCCATCGATAAAGAGGCAATGCGTCCAAATCTAACACAACTGAGCATGAAGGTATATCAGATTCAGAATCAATAAGTAATCGGGATGTAGGTATGGATGCTCACCTTTTGAAACGCACCAGATAACCCACTAGCAAACTTGATAATTCTTCTCATCCGAAAACAAAAAAGAGTGTGAAGGAACCTAGGACTAAAGCGGACTTCTTAAAGGGCAGTATCTTAGATCAAGCAGTTGCTACTGCTTGCTTATCTTCATAGGGTGCCTTAGAGTACTTCAGTGGAACTGCCGTTCAATTCTTTCTGACTACAGACTTATTAGACCTAATTTCTCAACGATCTCCAGACGTCATAACTTTACAAGAAACTTGGCTGTCTGCTGATCAAAACTTCTATCTAAAAAACTATCAGTGCTTTGACTGTACTGATACTCACGTGGTGGAGAATTAATGTTTTTCATTTCATCCAAAATTTGTCATAAAGCACACTTACTTTACCAACAAATATCACACGATTATGAAGTATTGGTTCTGGAAATTCACTTTCCCGGATGCGCGCGACTATCTGTAGTCAACAACTACTTTGGCGCTGGAATACAAGATGAAAGAGCCCTTGACGTGACTGTGAGTTTTTGCAGAAACATTATAGTATTTGCGGCGGACTTCAATTCCCATCACGTTTCATGGGGATTCCGCACTGATTCATCAGGAAAACGGTTGTGGGACTGGACTAATCGGAATAACCTTATTTGCTGGAACTCGAAAATTCCGACATTCGTTCGATGTAATTCGAGGTCTGTCTTAGATTTGACATTTGCTAGCTCAAGTGTGACAATATCGTCTTGGACTGTTCTTAATACTGCTACAAGTGGTGATCATTGCCCCCTGGTATTTGAAGTCAGCATTCCTTTAGTGACGGTAGATCGCCAGGTGCAAAGTTTTGTAGACTACTCTAAATTTAAAAAGAATTTATAGTCAACGCTGTCTTCCTTGCCCAATATGGAAGCAAATATGAAAGCTATGAGCCTTTGTTCCACCCTAAAGTGTACAATTAAAAAATCACAGTTCACTATATCTTCAACAAAGGGAAAATTCATATCTGCCTGGTGGAATGTGGATTGTGCCAGAGATTATAGACACCGCAACGCTGCATGGAAAAAACTCCTTACCAACCAATGTCCGACTAATTGGAGAAATTATTTATTTGCTAAAGCTACCTTTAAGAGAACAGTGTCATTAGCGAAAGACGATTATGAAGAAAAACGTTACAGCTATCTATCCAAGAGCGGCAACAAGAAAGCTCTATTCATATTTCTCCGTAATCGTAAAGCTCTTACAGCACACTTAAATATTGTCTCAGTTATTTTTTCTCCAGCTGAGTTGAAAGATACATTAACTGAAATTGCATTAGGATTGGAGAAGAGATTTACATCACAAATCAAAATAAAGTGTGCAAAACCGTCATTCGGAAATGATTTTATTGAAGTAAGTAGAAATGAACTTGCGCACGTCGTTCGTATTCTCCCAAACACAGGTCCTGGACCAGATTGCGTCACTTCAGAAATGTTAAAAAATATTATTCGACATCTCTCCTGAAGACCTCCTTAACGTTGTCAACTATTCACTTGAAAATAGTTGGATACCTCCTGACTGGAGACTTGAAAAAATAACACCGCTTCTTAAAAAACGGGGACTAGGAATGCAGACAGATAACATTAGGCCAATCGCTTTAACATGACACGTAGTTAAGTTAATAGAAAGAATACTTTACGTTAGAGTTACGAAGTTCATAACACATAATACGATACTCAGTGCATGCCAGATTAGATTTAGACCAGGTTACTCTATATGGTGGGCGCATGTTGATTTAGAGGCTCGTATAAAGCTTGCTCGGCACAGACGACAATATGCGGCCCTAGTAACCCTTGATTTAGCCAAGGCATATGACAGTGTTGAACATCCGATTCTTATTAATGCCCTAACAGAGCTTACGTTCCCGCAGTACATAACAAATTGAATATACGAATTTTTAAAAGCCAGAAAATCTTATTGCTCCCAACGAGGTGTTTCCACACCGAAGTATAGCCAAACGAGAGGTGTTCCTCAAGGCTCTGTTCTATCCCCTGTGCTATTTAACAATTTGTTAAGTTCAATACCCCTGAGTGATAAGGTACAAGTATATGTATATGCAGATGATATCGCGTTCTTTGCATCTGACAGCGATATTTATTCACTACATTCGACTTTACAGTGTTATTTGGCAACATTGGAAACCTGGTTTCAGAAAATTCATATGAACCTGAACGTAACTAAGTGCTATAA